GATCCGCATCACCTTCCCCGACGAGGTCGACGAGTCCGGCAAGCAACAATCGGGCCGCGTTGTCGTCGTTCGCGTTGGAGACCACAGTGTCGGACTGGAGCCTGTACAAGAGGACCTCCCAGCCTACCAGCGCGACGCATCAGACCGCTTCGACTCTCTCGACCTGGATCGCATGGGCGGACTGAAGGAGAAGGACGACAAATACTACTCATGAATCTCATGACACCAACTCTCAACACCCGGCTAGACTGCTGCTACTGAACGTCTAGCAGCCCGGGCCTCTCAGCCACTTGGCTACGACCGACTACCCTTGATGACGGCTATACCGCGCTGATTGTCAGCTTCTCCGTTCCTGCTGAAGCTGTGGCATAGCCGGCAGGGCACACCATTTATGTATATTCTCGGAGTTGACTGGCCATTTTGCTGTATACCCCCTGATGATTGGCCATCTCTTCAACGAGGTTTCTACACCTCTTACATAACTCTTATTCACTAATGTATGATACACAACTCACTCTCTAGCGACTGCGCAGAGCAGCATGAGAGCCAATACAATCCTTTGTCAAGACATACAAAACGCGTGCATCTGATCGTGACGTGAGGTGGACGTGAATGAACCAGCGCATGCAGGGTCTTTGGGTATTCTGGTACGAACGGGAAGCGTGCAGGCATGATGTCAAGGCTCGTATTACAAGTCCCAAGCACAGCTAGCGACGGGCGCGAGGCGCGTACCTCGATGGCGGATGCATGACATCGGAGGCTCGGCGAAATGGGTGATCCACTTGTGGATGCTTGCGACACATCCTCACTTTTGTAAACAGCGCACCAACTTTCTCCCCATGGATTCTGTCGCTCCTTGAGGCCTCTTCAGCCATTTGAATCCCATTGAATCTCCATTTGGCATTTGCTAAGCGCCAATTGGCCACCCCTCTCTATCCGCCATGGAGAACGGCGAGGTCTTCACGCCTCTGTCCGACATCACCGCCGGCCGGAGCACCGCGCCCAAAGTTCAGAAGCCGGCGCAACAGCCACAACAGCAGCAGCCGTCGCAAGGTCAGCGGACAGCTGTACATGACCCTGATAAGGCGAAGAGGCTTGGGCAGGTGCACTTCAAGGCCGCTCATGGCATCATTGTCGCTTTCTTTACCTTCATACTGTAGGTTTCTCCATCGCAGCCCTCTCCCGGCTTTCCCCTCAAGACATGCATCGCTGACGGTTACCAGAATACTTCACATCCTCGGTATCTACCTCTTCACGAGCGGCTTCCTTCTCACGCGATTGGTGCTCGACCACAAGTCAGAATGCGCCCTCCCCCCAATCGACTCTGCGAACGCGTACACACCGGGCGACGCGGAAAAGGGGTGCTGGCACCCGAAGACATTCAACAAAGCAGTCGTCATCATCGTCGACGCGCTGCGATATGACTTCACTGTGCCCTTCCCCGAACAATTCGAACCAGTCGATCTCGCTGTCGAAGCCGAGAACCCGTCCCAAGCCCCTCCAATCGCCCCGCGCCATTTCCACAATGCTTTCCCCGTGCTATACGAGACGGCGAGGAACCAGCCTCAGAACGCGTTCCTCTTGCCCTTCATCGCTGACCCGCCGACGGCCACGATGCAGAGGTTGAAGGGGCTCACAACGGGTACGTTGCCCACCTTCATCGATGTGGGCAGCAACTTTGCGGGCCAGGAGATTCTTGAGGATAACTTGGTCGGACAATTGAAGAATGCGGGCAAGAGAATGGTTCACCTCGGTGACGACACATGGCACGCTCTTTTCCCGGACTACTTCGAGCCGAACCTTACGCACGCGTACGATTCGTTCAACGTCTGGGATCTACACACCGTTGACTACGGCGTGAGTGAGCACATTTTCCCACTGTTGCAGGCTGAGAATGCCGACAAATGGGATGTCATATTCGGTCACTATCTGGGCGTAGACCATGCTGGACACCGTTACGGACCCGATCACCCTGCCATGGCCGCGAAGTTGAGCGAAATGGACAAGGTCTTCCAGCGCATGATTAGGACCATTGACGACGACACTCTGTTGGTTGTTATGGGAGATCACGGCATGGACGCAAAGGGTGACCATGGAGGAGAGTCGGATGATGAGATCCAGGCTGCGCTGTGGATGTACTCGAAGAAGGGTATATTTGGGCGCAGCAACCCTGCCTATGTCGCACCCCCGGCCAACGCAAAGACCCGGCCAGTGGGACAGATCGATCTAGTCCCGACTCTCTCGCTTCTTCTAGGCATGCCCATACCCTTCAACAACCTCGGAAAACCCATCGAAGAGGCTTTCATCGGCAAGGACGGCGCTGACTACAAGAATCTGGCTACTGTCAACCGCCTGACAGCGGCGCAAATTCACAATTACCAGCATGAATACGCCAAGGTTCGAGGCATTGCTGATAGCGCACGAGCTTCTTCGCTTGCCCTCTGGAAGAACGCAAATGACGCGTGGAACTCGCTCGGAAGATCCAAGGCCAACAGTGATGAGATGCGCCAGGCGTACGAGGCTTTCGGTGCCTACCAGCGCGATACACTCCGCATCTGCCGCGACCTTTGGGCTCGATTTGACGTCCCTAGGATGGTCAGTGGTGTCACAGTCTTGGCCGCCAGTCTGATAGTAGTCGCACTCTACGCTAGAATCCTTCATGGCGATCGTGCCGACGTCACTCCCGTCTTCTTCACCCGTGGCGCTATTGGTCTGGTCCTCGGAGGTATCGTTGGTGTGGGCTTTACCATCTTCATGCCAGAGGACGCCAAGTCGCACGTTCTTGTCCTCTCCTCTGCTCTCACTGGAATCGTCGGCTGCGCTTCTACTTTCTACTCGCTGAGTTACCGCCTCATGCCACCGATGCCGAACAGTATTTGGGGCTGGGTGAGTGTCATCTTCACTCTTGCGCTCTCTGGCGGCTTCGCAGCCAACTCATTCACCATCTGGGAGGACGAGATTCTCCTGTACTTCCTGACCACCTTTGGTGTTCTTGCGCTTATCTCATCTTTCCGCCGAAAGAGTATTTCAGACCGAACTCTGGGCGCTTACCACTCCATCTTGTTCACCATCTTGCTCAGGGTTGCGAGCTTCTCGAGACTGTGCAGAGAAGAGCAGATGCCATACTGCAAGTCCACATACTATGGATCCGCTTTGTCCACTACATCAGCACCGTGGCAACTCGCCATTCCCGTAGCCGCCGCCATCCTCATCCCCACGTTCATCAAGAGCTACTACGACGGCACCAAGAGCTACCAGCACTACGCGACCCTTTGGATAGGTCTCGCACTGCGCTTCGGCCTTATGATGTCCGCCGCATACTGGGCCCTCGACGCGGCCGACGACGGCGAATGGGCACCGGGCTGGGAGAACATCATCCGCATCACGAAGCGCTTCCTAGCCCAGATCGTGCTCGCCATCAGCATGGCCTTTGGCTACTCAATCTACAACTGGTCCAAGCCCCTCCTCAACGTCATCATCAACAAAGACGGCGGCGTCGACGAAAACGGCGCGCCCAAAGAAGAAGTCATCATCCACGGTTTCGCAAACGTCCACGGCTCGCGCTACGCCCTCCTCATCACAATCTGGTACCTCGCCGTCGCCGTGTTGCAGAAACCCATGGGCGCAGGTGCAATTGGCATCTTAGTCTGGCAACTCTTCTCCCTCTTCGAAATCATCGACACGAACAACCTGCGTCAATCCGCCATCGGCCCCGTCGTCCTCGGCCTCCTCGGCTCCTTCCACTTCTTCAAAACAGGCCACCAAGCCACTCTCTCCTCCATCCAATGGGAATCAGCTTTCATCCCCTTGACCAAGATACGCTACCCATGGACCCCCATCATCGTCATCCTCAACACATTCGGCGCACAGATTCTTTGTGCTATTGCGGTACCGGCGTGTGTGCTTTGGAAGGTTAAACCTCAGAAGAAGGGTCTGCTTAGTGTGGTTACGAAGGCTATGGCTTCCCATATTTTGTTCTATGCGACTGTTAATCTGGCGACGACGATGTGGGCGGGCCATTTGAGGAGGCATCTTATGCTTTATAGGATCTTTTGTCCTAGGTTCATGGTTGGGGCTGTGGTTTTGTTGGTTGTGGATGTGGTGTTGATTGTTATTGCGCTGTGGGGGACTAGGATGAGTATGTTGAGTACGGCGGAGGTGTTTGGGTTTGGGGGGTAGATGGGTGAGTGGGAAAGAGGAGGGGATTGGGGGGAGGAGAAATGGTGGTTGCATATATTGGCGCGGGCTTGGTTGTTGTTGTATTAGCATCGCTTGCAGCGTCTTTTCTGTCTTTCTTGTGTTCATTGTAAGAAGCTCATGAAGAATATCACCTGTGCAACTTCCTGATACGCTCTTTTCTCACACCGTCTTCTCATTCCATCATCTTGATCCTTGCCGTTCGCTCCTGCTCCTTCCGGATCCAAACGCGCCAGATTGGCCTAGAATAGCCCTGCGCGAGACCGCTCTCTTACCTCTTACCTCTCGCTATCCTCTCGCGGTTCTCCTACCAATACATTGCGAGCGCATTACGTCATGCTACGCATCGACAGCGCGAGGTAAAGGTAAAGGCAGTCGCCTCAGTCACCGCTGTCGTCGTCTATATCAACGTCTCACCCCGGACCTCCGTGTCTCCTACACCACACTCGGAGTACACTGAAGAGCAGCGGTTATTGCCCACCTCTTTGCGATAAAACTTATGGAGTAACCCTCCTTACGATATATCGATTCAGCAGGGACGTCGACCACGTCCGAGCGGAGAAGTGATCTCGAACGGGAGCGATAGCGACCACGGCATAGTCGTGCGCTTGACGAGGCTGCGCAAGAAAGCGGTGAGTCCTTTTTTCTCGATACACTTTGAGAGATGTGTATACTGACTGGCGGTACAGGTCATCATTAAGACTGCGCCTCTCCAATCACTTAACCTCTACTCCTAACGATAACTCACCTTATCTCGATACTACCTCCCACTCCAACGGAAGCACATCCATTGCCCCGGTAATATGGCTTCACAACTGCAGCAATCAGCGAGCGTTGCGCCTCGTAATGAACCTTGCGAAGAAAATCCCTACGGCATCTTCGTCGAGGAGGATCTGATCGACGACTCGACTGGGATCGTACCAACAAAGGGTTTGGGTATACCTCTTAGCCTCAAGGACCGCTTCTTGAGGCGCCTGTCGAAGATGCTAGGCACCGCAGCGAACATACGAGAGATACACAACGGCAACGCTATGGACATCTTCTTGACGCGAGACAAACAGTCGCCCGGGCCAAACATTGCGCTGGATGAAGGACTACGCAAATTTGTGCGCGAGCTCGAAGATGGGCTGGAATCTGTTGCGACACATCCGTCTGGTATGCTTCACCTGGCTTCAAGCGTTCGTCGCTAACACCTTTAGGCCAGCCACTCGATCGTGCATGCTCAGAACTATGGGACGGCATTCTGATTTACAACTACAACAAAGTCGAACAAGTCATACGAAGTATACAGAAGAATTTCGACGAGAATAGGACTACCTTCAACGAACTCGTAACGAGGATGTTCGGCATCGACGACAATGACGACAAGGGCTCGATGCTGGACCGAGAGCTTGGTGAAAAGATTATCAGGCTATCTCAAAACGTCCATGCGTTCGATGGCTCCATGAAGGAGTTGAATAAGCTCGTTCAATTTGCATCGACTATGACGAGGGTACTTCACAACTTGCGAGACCGCCTCAAGTACATCCTTGAGAAGACTCACTTCGCCAATAAGCTGTTCGACCTCATCTGCGCCCTCGGCTTCCCTGAACGTGTCTACAGCACCCTGGTACGGGCTGCTAGATCTTCGCAGACATTTAGGAAGGTCAACTTCCACTTGAGGCCTCAGTCGCCGGTAAAGAACGTGTCTTTCGCGACTCCAACGGCGAGTGCGACGCCAACAACCATCAAGCCGTCCTCACCGCCTCAAAAGGAGAAGTCAAAGCGGATGCAGCAGTACGAAGCAACAGCGATCGGAACTGCAGTTGCAGTTCCTGCTCTTCCATCTCTTCCTCTTCCTTCTCCTCCTCAGCAAGCTCTCACCAGCCTCGGTCCACTGATGACCGCGGTGCAGCCTTACCTGAATCAACAAGATCGGGGTCTCGATCTCCATTCCTTGCAACCCGCAACCAAACAAGAAACGGCGCAACTAATCGGCACCATACTCCGAGAGAGGCTTCTATCTACGCAGACCGCCGCATGGTATTCGTTCGGTTTCGTCACCGCGAAGGATGAAGAGCAAGAAAGACAACTAGCAGGGCTTTACGTCGCAATACTGAAGGAGGCCAAAGATCCCGAAGCCGCATTCCGCGAACTACAGACTGCCTTGGAAACGAATTCCATCGTCAAACTCTTCGATCAGTACGAGTACGCTCATTTCCGCGACCTCTTCCCTTACCTCAAGACCTTCCTCTCCACGCCACCCACCAAACGCTCCACCGTCTGGCGTCTCCGGCAGTTCATCCAGGATCCGATTGACGACGAACCGCCTGCATGTCTACAACGGGACTACGGCTTCAAATTTTGCCGCCCCCGCGAAGAAGTCCTCCGCGTCAAGGAAATCTACACCAAAATGCTGCGCAAGATGGGCCCGCAAAAGCTGGATATCGCATGCATCAACGGTCGATTGTCCGAGACGGCGATGAAAGAGGGGGTGTATGTCGATCACAAGGACAGGCGGTTCCTGAAAAACGACTATGGATCCCCATTCCTGGGACTGGACTGTGAGGGCGGTCTCGAGAACTACCGCGGCCCGTTCTACAGGAAGCCGTTGAAGCTTTAGGTGGGGTGTGGGGATGAGCATGGCGTGTATGACGTGCACGGCGGCGAGCCCTGAACATCCGCTTGATGAGCTCTTGGAGAAGGGCGTGAAGCGACGACTAGGCTTCTGGCATACCTGCGATGAACGCTGGATGATGTCTGCGTGCTATTCGGGCGATAGGCTCTGGTGTGGATCTTGCTTTCGGGGTTCTGCGGGATTGTCTGCGTCATTTTACGGAACTCATGGCCATCAAAAGGCGTTGCGATATACCCATGACTTTTGGTGCCAGCCGAGGCAGCAGGATGGACATTACTTGTGCGATTGGCTTTTTGAATTGCTGTTTCTCATTTTCATCAACTCAAAAGTTGGGTTTTGCGTGCGGACAGGGGTATCTGGAACTTCTTTTAGCACCAAAATATGCAGCGGCTGAGGCATGCAGTCTACTGATTTCGAAACACACCTCCTCTTGATCAACTCGTGATGTCTTGGATGCGCGTTGCTAGACTGAGCATACTTTTCTGCGTTCTTGTTGTTTGGAATCTGAACTTGCTCACTCATTCCCACCATCGCCGTCGAGGGATTGATGCACGTGACATTACCGCCCGTGGACGCATATATAAACCCACCCTTCGCACCACTTCTTCTTCTCCATCACACACCTACTTTCCGGGCATCTTTTCAAAAAGCTACTGTGCAGGTGCACATGTGGTGCTTTCTCCAAAATCGCACTACGATGGTGGCATGTTTGTCCCTCGGTCTCCTCCTTTCCAAAATTTTACCTAGCTGGCGCATATATGCAGAGTAGAGATCTTCTCCTCTTAGTCTTTCCGACGCCGGCAACCAAAGAATAACGCTCAAAGACGCCATGTTGTCGAAAACACACAAAAAAGTCATAACAATATTATGGATGTTCCGAAAACCAGAAGAAAGACGAGAGTTTCTGATGTGCTCGCCTGGTTCTCTCCTCCCTATATTTAAGTCCACTTCACGACTGTTCCTGATATCTTACATCCTTCTTCCCCTGGGTCATATTCCAAAACTCATGGAAGCACACGACATGATCTGCTGGTCTGGTCGACCAAGAGTACGTTACAGGCCCGGCATGTTGTGCGCTGTCTCCCCTTCCTTCTCTATTCAAAACCAATCGAGGCCCTCGAATATGTCGGTGTCTGAGATCCGTCCGCAGCCCTAATATGTTGTGCGGACTTGCCCGTGCGTTGATGCAAGACTTCTTCCAGAATCTTTTTTTTTCTACTGCCAAGATGATGATGTGTGCTGTTCCGACTGCGTTGGCTCTACTGTTAAGACTGGTGTCGATGGCGGGTACAAAGCTTCGATCGAGGTCGTGAGAAGTTTGTTGTCGCACACTCTTCTTCCTGTATTGTTCCAAAGTAGGATGAGAAAGATCCTATGTCTGGGTCCAAAACTTGGCGCACTTCAAGCCGATGGTTGTCTGGTTCTGCCTTCCAACTCTGACATCGAAATCCACGCGACTAGTAGTCATGGTGGCACTAAAACCAAGCGCGTTAAGACCCATGTGTGCGTCCGTGGAGATGGGGCTGTACTTCCGATGTCAAAAGCACAAACGAAGAAGCCCATGTCCTGCGCGTCTCGCCTGCGCTGCATCAAAACTCGACAGCGAAAAGAATTACGATGAGAGCGTCGGATGTGGTGCTCAAGTATAAAACCCGTCATCTTTCACACGTCCTCCGTCTTCTGCGCTACCTCGCGGCTGCGAGTGACCGAAACCACTGGCTCACTAAATGATGTCCTCGTTCCAAATTCGATTGAGAAACTATAGATGTTTCTGCGCGCTCGCTTCTGATCTTCCTCATTACCAAAAACGCGCTTCATCAGCTGCATAACTCTATTATCGTGTCTCAAAAACGGAAGACCACCGCGTTATGTTTACGGAACACGAAATTGCGGATGTATGGGTTAGCGCTGGGTGTGGTGGTGGTGCTCGCGTTGGGTGCGCGTGCCAATGATGATGATCGGCATCATGGTTCCGTAATGAGGTCTAGCCATGACCAGGTCGCATTCTGAGTCAAATGCGCACTCTGTCCTTCGTTGTGGAATGAGGTTGCGGAATGAGGAACGTGGCTGTGGAATGGGGTTGCGGAATGAGGTTGTGACAACGTGGTGGAACCACCGAGGTTGATGACGTAAGCTCCTAGCGTGGCATCGACGCGTCACGCCTCTAACCTTGGAGGTGTAATCACCGTCGCCATCATTGTCACGCCTTTGACCGCCATCGCGTGTGTTGTTCCAAGCATCGTCATGCTGACCGGCATCTGTGTCAAAATGGCATAGTAATATCGCGTACTACAACGATAATCTCGATCTCTGCGCACGTCGTCTTTCCTCCCTTCTCCGCCCACCGTACACGTACTCTGCGTCGACAGCCCCAGGTTACTTCAAGCGCATGAATACTACTGTTTCGTTTTTTTTTTGTATTTTCATATCTCCGTTTAGTTATATACACGTCCGCATTCTCCATTCCCACCATTAACCCTCCGATACTATAAACACACCCGCTGTAAAAAGACTCGCTCTCACGACCATCGCAAGCCACCGATCCGATACCGAAACGTCCACGCTATAAACACGCACTGTTAAACAAGGCCTTTCCAGAAAGCCTATCCGATATACCGACCGGAATGAGCAAAGAAAAGAGAACGGACGACCTTGTCCGTCCGTAAACTATCGCTCCTTAAACAGAAAAGCAATCGAATCTCGAAACATCATGCCAAATACAACGCCCACGCAAAGAAAGAATAACACCGCCGGCAATCCCTTTATACCATCTCCGATTCCACGTACTGTGTACGTACCATGCATCTTAAACTCAGGTACCGCGTCCCCTCCCGCGCCCCCTCCCTCTAGAACTTCCGCCTCTACCTCTACTTACAGGATTGGGATGGGCGGATCCTTGGCCGTAGCCTCGTCCACCACCCGCTGCAGGTGCTATAGTATGTTGTGGTGTGACGGCGGGTGCCTGTATAATACCTTGGTGTCCGCCGGTGGGTGCTGGTGGAATACCTCGGTATCCGCTGGTGGGTGCTGGTGCATTAACTCGTTGTGTACGTGAACTATCATGATGAGGGGCTGTAGAATGTGGCGGATATGGCTGTGGCAGGGGAGATCCAGTCTGTAGAGCACTGTTGGCTACTCTTGAGTTAAGTGCGCTCCACGAGCTGAAAGAGGCACCACTCGGGCCGCTTGCGGGTGTTTTTCCCCACGCTTTTGCGGTTTCGGGCCACTTCGATTGTGGGTTCACCGGATTTTCATTGCGAAAATCATGCTGAGGTTGATTTTTAGGATCATCGAGAATTTTCCCCAGTTCGGCGACAGGGTCATAAGGGCTTTCCTGGCGACTGGCCCTACCGGAAGTACCTTGAGGTGGCGGTTGTGTAGAATACCCTACATGTTGATTCCCAAGCTGTTGTGTTGACGATGCTTGTCTTGTTTGTAGAGTACCTGATTGTGTAGCCCCGACACCGCCCGTAGTACCTTGCATGACGCTGCGCACTACATCTTGATTCATCTCGCTTAGTAGATCTCCATTGGTGAAAAGGCGGATAGATGCTGGGGTTGGATAAATATAGGCACCACGCTCCTTCCCTCTAGAGCTAGCGACTCCTGGAATGTAGAGATCTCCAGGGGGTGGCCCTTGCCAAACCGCGTGGCAAGTGTTCGTGAGCATGCTGTGAAGTTCGGCTTCCGAATTTCTTTTCGCTCGGATACCATTTACACGGGCTAAATCGAACTTGAGTCTCCAAAGGGCGACCCAAAAGGTTGCGAAATGTCGAATAAAGTCCATTTTCACCTGTCCCACTATCCAAGGATTTGCAGCAACGATTTCCTCAGCTCGGTCTTCACCCTTTGTAGTTTGAGTCCTTATATCGCTTGGATAGGGTTCGTTCTCGCGATTGGTCGACATAGTGATTAACTAGGTATACGTTGGGATATCTTTGTGTTCGAGTGTTCGAGTGTGCGAGTGTTCAATTAGTTCGAGAGTATATAAGTAAGCTACTAACTAGCAGTAGATTGTTGGAGCTTTGATACAACGTTGGAATGGTGGAAGTAGTGGTTGTAGTTGTTGTTGGTGGTCTGCAGAAGGAAAAGTACAGCACGTCTAACTATTTATATCTAGCAGTGACAAACGCCCTCGGCCTTCATGAATCGTATGTGACTCCATCTTGGTGACTCTCTCCTCGTGACATCTCGTATGTGACTCTGGGTGTTTGACTCATTACGTGACAATACCAGAGTTCACGAAGAGCTACTCGAACAATGGCTATTGTCTGTGACGCGATCGTTCGCCGTCGAAAGCCGTGCGATTCACGTTATGCTGCTGAGAGACCGGTATTTCCGCTTGTTAGGCACAAACAAGCGATGCGCAGGCCTTCATGCCATTCGGGCGTATGAACCACAGCTCACATGAAAATCTAAATATTGAAAATACTCGCAAACCAAAGTCTCGAGGCAGTGTGCGTATGCAGAGCCCCCGCTATATGTGCGTAAATTTAGAAGTATTGGGAAGACTTGCGCGACTTCCCTAGGATGTGCGACAAGTTTCGATCGAGAGATAAGAACAACTACGCAACACAAGCATCGAAGAGGGAGAGTCGGGGTCGATATTGAAAAGATATGTAGAATGTTGTAGATTACAGTACATGCCAAGAATCAGTAATCACTAGCCAGCTACCTATGCCGCTCCGCAATGTCCATTGCAAAGCCGCTTGTCTTGTATAAACCCATGAAACACCGCTGCATATCCGACTGTACATATAACACCGCTGAAGAACTTCAAGAATACACAACGCTTAACTATCATGTGTACATCGACTAAAACCCTGGCTCTGAGACTTTTCATGCAAGCCGGCCATGCACCTTCATCACTCTCATAACCTCCGTCCTTTGCCTTTACCGGTGTAGCCTTGTTGTTGGCCGCTGCCCGTTGATGCTGGATTTGGGGTGTTCCTCGATGATGTAGGTGCAAGAGGACTTGATGGAACACTAGTTGTTCTATTCTGTGTGACACCAAGATTGCTCGTCGATGATCCTGCTCTCGGCCTCTTCGGTACTGGCAATCTCGAGGGTGAATGACCTGCTGCAGGATTACTTCCACCGCTTGATGGCGAGCTTGTCCTCACTTCCATAGAGCGCTCATGCGTCGGTGTACGAATCGCACTATTTCCGCGTTTATCACCAGGTCCTGGACTAGGCTCTTGAGATTTGCGATGGGTACGAGTAGACCCTGATGGCCCCGGAATTCCAGTTGGATTTGGTGTGGGTGTTCTAGAAATCATGAATTGTTTGAACAAATCTTGATATTGAGACTTATTACTCTTGTTGCTTGTTTGAGAAGCCGGGCGAGATGTGGGTGCAGGTGTAGCTGCACGAGAACGAGCTTGAGAGGGTTCACGAGCATGCTCCTTCATCATGGCGTCCATTTCCTCTGCGTCGGCGCGCTGCTTCTCGTCAATGAAGGCGCTGGAAATATCGAATGCATGAATTCCGTAGTTCTGGGCCATGAAGTCTTTATCCATATGGGTTAGTGGACGTCCGTTTGTGAAGAGGCGGGTAGATCTTGAGGTTGGATAGATATAGGCACCACGCCCATTCTTAGCACGGCCTCCACAGTTGATCTCTTGAGGGGGTGGTCCATTCCAAACAGCATCGCAAACTCTCGTTATGATAACGTGAAGTTCTTCTTCCGAGAAATTTTGCACTCTAACGGTTCCATTCTTAGAGGTCGCAACCCACCTGTCTTTATAATTGGCAACTAAGTGGATTTTGAAATGTCGGATGAACTCCGTCTTGACCCGTCCTTGTATCCAAGTGTTTTCAGTAAGAATTTGCCTAGCCCGTTTCCCAGCATTGTCTTCTGCCTGTCGAATATCATAATCACTGGGTTCGTTGGCCATCTCAGTAATTGACTAGGTATACGTTGGGAGATCTTCGTGTTCGGGTGTTCGAGTTTTCGATTAAATAAAGGGTATATGAGTAAGCTACTGACCGGCAGTAGATTGCTGAGATGTTGGCAGTGTAGTGTAATGGAAATGTAAGTGTAATAGTTGTCGTTGTTCTGGGGAGAGATATGTGGAGCACAGCGGAATATATATACATGCTGTTACTCTCAGCGAACAAACAGGTTCATCGTATCTGACAGCTCGCCTGTAACATACTGAACGCTTAATAATGTAGAGATTCACACATAGCTAGCAGATCAAGCATGTAGTTTGAAGAGCCTAGACTGTGTTGGGACTCGACTTCACCTTATTCACGTGGCACGTTGTCTTGCGTGTGGCAATGTGCTGCTCGCAGTGTGTGTTTGATTGTAACAGGATCGATTGGGAGCTTAAGTGATGATATTGCTCTTCGGCTAATGCTCTACGCAGTGATTGGAAGGGAGTGCTGTTCTTGAAGGGCTACGAGGTATCACAGACAATGGCGATCTGGAGATGTTTACGAAAAGCATACGCAGCGTGTTTGGTGCTTCACATAAAATCAGATTTACTCCTCGGATTCGCGACGTACAGATTCTGAAGTATAGGTAAGGTTGATGATTGCACATTGAGTGTTGTTGGGGGATGTTACTTACCTCCAGGGCAATTCAACGATAAGTGTCAAGTTAAGTCAAACACTGTTTGACTGTGCGCAATCCGATCACAGCTTCTTTAGATACGATATTCTTCCCTTTACTCTACATATTCAATCGTCTATCCTGTAAGAGCGCCTCTGATCAGTAGGCAATCACCGTAGCTTTGTCCACATGTCTTTGAATACCTGCCCTACAGACTTCCGTCTGCGTGGATCGTCAAGACCATTTCCGCCGTTACTAGCTTCTGGAAGTTCAATGATGGGAGTCTTGGCGGTGGCCATACTCATTGTGTGTGCAGGCTCACGAGCGTCGCGGTTGCGCGGCGGAAGGTCGAGATTGACGTAATCATCAGTCTGTTCCTTGACCAATGAACCATCTGAGGTTGCGCGCAGAGGTCCTTGCGATACGTCTAGTCGTGATGAGTATTGGTGGACCGACTCCGGCAGCTTCGGGCGCGATGCTGGGGTGTCTGAGGGCGACATCTGTGATTGTAGTCCCATGGATTTGGGTGGCTGGTATGTCTGGCTATCGAAACGTTATTTTGATGAATCGATGAGGTGAGCCACAAAGCGATGGCTGCGCTGCCTCTTCGGAGTGAAATAAAGCAACCAAGGTTCTGTCACGACGCATTTGCGCGCTACTCCAATTGATCCTTGTGGAGATATGACTGGGACCGCGTTTCCTTCTAAACATTGATGCTTAAGTGTTAGTTCTGTAGTGACCTGGCTGCCCAGGTGTGGTGTAGCGACGTGGTGCTGAAGTCAAGTGGTGACGCCAGGTTTAGCACCTAGCTGGTGGGCGCGAGGCTGGCAGCTACGAACGCAGTACCGGAACGACTGCAGGTGATGGTGAGACCAAGACCTTTGGTGCATGGTTGATGGTAGAGGATCAAAAACCTCTCTCCGCTTAGTGCGTGCGGATTACGTCATCAAACAACTCATTCCGTGCACACTTCAAAACCGTCACTAACGCCTGCTGATCGCAACCCAAAGCTCGACATTTCTATTCGCGCCCACAACTGACCCATACTACGAATACATAAACGCAATATGCCACAGTCGCAATAACATCATCTGTCCAATCTTCCAACACTCCGCCATCCCGAGATCACCTCCACCGCCGCGTACTCGGCCAACACTGCAAACTCACAATTCCAAAGTCACCGTTCAACCCAGGGCACCCGATAGTACTACTAGAGTTAGCAAGCCTCTCGATACTCTCTTCATCTCGAGCAACTCACTTGTACGCTTGTCCATTAGCTATAATATGAGCTTGAGCCCCATTCTTGCAATCCGGTTCCTGGTATAGAAGGCAGTAGCCACCCGGATCAGGTCCAATAGACTGAGGACGACTCAGAGCAAGACCAATCTCCTTTTGGTAAGAAATACAGACTGTTTGGTCAGCGGCAGCAGGAGGTGGCCACCACTTGCATGTTTGGGTTGCGGAAGGCGTGAAGTTTGGACCGGGGCAGATGTAGACACCGCCCGGTCGGCCTACTTTGACATCGCAGACAGGGGAGTTTGGATCGGTGAAGGTGCGTAGGTCGGCGTTACTGCCGCTGAAACCGCCGCCAGTGGCTGGGATTACTTGGACAACGATGGTATCTCTTGTGGGCGTGTTGACGGGGGATGTAGCGGTGATGGCGAAGAAGATGCTGGTTAGGTATGTAGGGCAGATGTTGAGCATATTGACCAGTTGAGTTTGGGTTTAGACAGCAAGAAGGATGCCTATTCTTGAGGTAGCAGCGGCTCTTGTTGGTTGCTGGCACGATGGTGTAGAAGAGGTGGAAAGAGACTGACGCGGACGCAGAATCTCAATATATCCTCCCCGGGCGGCGAGACTGTGATGACTATACGTTACATTGGTGTATTTCTTTTCAGCAATTACTACGACATGAATAGCACGATGCGTCCCTTGCAATCCACTCGATCACACCCGAACTTCACAACGCCATATCAAAGCGCCGAGCAAAGTCGAGATTCCTGCCATTGAATGTGGTACTGAACAGCACTGTACGATGCAAAATGCAGACATAAATAGGCCTGACAGCATACTTCTCCCTTCCTTCATCGTTACACGTAACATCAATCACACAAGAACTCACGCATCAACACAGCACGGCAGCCATAGAATTAGCAACAAACAACACGAAGTCGCACTTCTCTCACACCACAATGCACCCACTCACCCTCTTCCCCCTCATCATCACCGTAGCAACGGCTCTCCCCTTCGCCGTCGGCACCCACCCAGACACATCAAGCCAAGACCAACCAGACTGTAAACCCGGAGCCGAAGGCACCACAGCCGGCGTAACCTACTGCCTGAGCACAAACTTCAACGCTCCTTGCGAATGGCACGCCTACTACCCCGACCGAGACTTGTGTCTAGCTTTCGACGAAAAACCAGAAAGGCGCCCCCTTTCCATTCGCCCTCAGCACGGTGGGTACTGCGAGTTGTTCAAGGACAACAAATGTGGGGGTGATCCGGTCTGGATTTGGAAGGATGATACGACGACGAAGTTGGAGTGCCCGGGTATGAGTGATGCTGGGAAGCCGGATTGGTTTGGTAGTATGAGATGTAGGACGGAGAACGAGGGGACGGAGAACGAGGGGACGCAGAACTCGGATGGATCTCCTGGAGGGGAATACCAGGGTAGTGGGGGTGATAATTATCCTGGGAGGATCCCGCGCAGGTAGGTTTAGGTGGGCATTCGGGGCTGGTTATGGAAGCAGGAGGTAGATGGGAAGTTTAGAACGCGGTGCTTACATGCCAGGTTGGGCTTAGTTGACGCTTAGATCGTCTACTTGTGTTACGTTCGTATGAAATGGAACACTGAATTGATATATTCCCTAATATACATATTGTATACAAATTATGAATGCAGTCCTAAAGAAGTAGTACCAAACGCATGAAAGATATGTACATCGCAGATGGCCAAGCCAGTATCCACCAGCTTCAACTCAATGCCGAACCCATAACAACAAATGTAATTTGCATACGCCCAGTCCCCAAATCTCTGCTCCTACCATCAAAGAAACCAAAAATAAGAACCCAACACGCCTTGAGAAAAATAGAAATAACCCCCACACCACCGTCTAATCCTTCCTACACTTCATACTCTTAAACCAAATCGGGTTCCCCACAGCCGACAAGCCCGGACACTGAATCGGCTCCGCCCCTTTCCCCTCCCAAATTTCCACTGCATCCTCGTCCTTACAATCCATCTCCTTGTACAACCTGCAGTGGCCGCCTAACACAAATCCCAAAAATTAGCAAATGCCCAAAATTCGAAGTGAATACATTGTCTAGGTAGGAAAACAACTCAAGGTAAACAACTTACCCATGTCGGGACCGATGGAGCGAGGTCTTGTTTTATATTCGCCGAAATTCTCGCACCATGGCTCTGGTTCGAAGGCGCGCGAGTGGCACTCCTTTGTGAAGCCGGGGTACACGCACCATGTTACGCTGGGGACGGGGGGAGGCGCGGAGCAGTACTCGGGGGCTTGGTAGGGCGCGAGGTATGGGCTTATTCCATGGCTGTGTTGGGGTATGAGGGGCATGGCGGAAGTGAGGGCGAGGCCGCTGAGGAGAGTGGGAAGTGTGAAGAAGTGCATTGTTAGGTGGTGGTAGGTAGTCTGGGATGCTTGTCTTAGTTGTTGGTCTGTAATCTTTATTTGCTTGGTGTTCTGACGTGGCAGTTGTTGTATTGATATAGATGAGTAAAGGGGGGCCAAAGGGGTATTTATGTACGCTCGACAACCATACATCGTTTGCACCAACGTCAAGTTTAATTTATCACTTCGTAAAACCTTGACATACCCTCGTAAATGAAATGGAAGACTGCTAGATAGATTGAAGGTCAGCGTAAGAATGACCTGCACCACTGCCTCTTAGCCTCTATATGTCCTTGTGTATGGAATGAGGAGTGCTCATGGAATGCATCAACTATTGATTCCGACTTCACTTTTGGGAACAATATGACTCCTTTATCACGCCACTGAGTAGCATCACGAATTACATACTAGTCCACTCGAAGTTTCGGTGCCGTTGAATACGCTTTTGGCAAGCGCAGCACGTCACCCGCACACTAAACTCGACGTCTTTGAACATAGCAAACATAAGTGGTATTAGCGTGAGCCGAAGCCGCATCTTCAATCTTCTCCTCTTCTCCCACTTTCCGTCTCCCTCGTTTTTCCCCTATTCTTCTTCCCATCTCTAGTACACAGCAAATAAGAGTCGAATCGAGACAAAAGAGACAAGGTATACACAGCATCAACTGAACTTTGAAAATAAGAAGAAAAGAATACACACCAACTCTCCCTCTCCCTCTCCCATCACCACCTCCACCAACATCTTCGCCCTCCAACCTCACGTCTCATAACTAATAAGGCGCCCTCCCAACCCCACCCCCCGTCCCCACACTCTCAACCACACTGCCCCCCAAACTCCCACTCACACTCTCATCCTCGTCCCCATCTTCAACCCCAATGCTATCCAAAAAGCCGGTAAAATCCGGTTTACTTCCCGCACCTCCAGTACCCCTCCTCGCACTCCTTTCCCCACTCCTCCCCCTACTAACCCCACTCTTCACACTCCTACTACGCCCAGCTTTACTTCCATTCGGCGCTGTCTTGGGTCTGGCTGCGAAATCGCGGGTATCGCTTTGACTGTTTTGAGCGTGGCCGTTTGGTGAGGTGCGCAGTTCTTCTGGGATGGGAGGAACAGGGGGGAGGTTTGTCATTGTGTAAGAACTTTCTTTTGGGTTCGCTGCACCACCTCCATTATTATCATTCTTGTTCGTGTTAAAGTTCATGCCCGTAGTTCCTTCCGGGCGAGGAGTAAGCGTCGCAGCGGGTGTAGTAGGTGAATCAGGATTCTCTCGTTGTTGGGAATCGGTGGTAGGGGGGTGTGTTGTTATGAAAGAAGCATCCGACAGAGAATGCACGCTGACGAGCGAGTCACTCGCTGAAGATGCGTGGTCGGAAGAAGATTTGCGGTGCCGGTGTGAAGGAGCGCGATGCGAGTAGCCTGTTCGAGGGGCGCCGCCGCCGGATGTGGAGAGTGCGCGGCGGAGATCGTCGACGCGGACTGTGGAGCGGAGGGAGGAGGAGCTGTTGGGTGTGTCGCCTGGACTGCGGCTGCGGTTTGGTGAGGAGAGACGGCCTACTAGACCGTATGCTGCAGATGGAGGTCTGCTGTGTGCGCGTCTGGGACTTTGGGCTGGCGAGCTACCATTGCTATCGAGGTTGCCATTGGGGATGTTGACACCGAGGAAGTTGTTCTTCTGCGTGGCGGCAGTGTAATGTGTGCCTGTCTTGGAACCAGAGATTGAAGCAGATGACGAATCCTTCGTGTGAGAAGACAAGCAATCCTCGCGGCTCCAGTTCGCCAAAAGATCTTCTCGGACCTTGAACGAGAGTTCAGGCGCGCTCTGCTGGCTCACGGGCTGTGTCGGTTGATGAATAGTAGGAATAGATGCAGACACCGTACGACCAGGTGAACCCGGAGGCGATGAAGGCGGTGAGTATAGGGAAGTCGAATAACCTTCCGATATCTTCTCGACCAATGCCTCGCGGTTGTCAAAAGGCTTAAGCGCTTCGTTCTCCACAATCTCTGACGGAATAGCCACGGGTGTCGGGTGTGGCGTTTCTATCAGCTCAATCGGCATTGGTGGGACGCGTATGCTCTTCATCCAAAGACCCTTGCTGCTTCTGCGCGTGATCTCATTGTGGAGGGCGCGACCGACAGAAGAAACCTCAAAGTCCAAGGTCATGCTGAGTGCCCAGAGGTATCCGTGTACCAAGCTTCCCAGGCGCAGCTTAGCACCGGGATCTTCGATGGTAATGATGTCCTCTTGCAGCCGCATGATCATTGGCAGTCCGCTCCTCGCTGCGTTCACTCCGAGCCTGTTCACCAGAGTAGTGAGCAGTAGATGGAGGAGCAGGTAGTCCGCCTCAGAGTCGACATAGTGGAGCGCATTCTCGTATACTGCCAGATGGAGCAATGGCAAAAACGTGTCCCTACCACGTTTCGACACCCTCTCCCTGTTCGAAGCATTCGAGACCGCACGTCTAGCCAGCGCGTTCTTTTCATTCTCCTTCTCCTTCCGCCTGTAGTTGTCCACAATCTTCAAATCTTCCTTGTCCTTCTCCGTGTTCAGCCAGGTTATCAGCGCATCGACGTATGCTTTCCTAACTTGACCACTCGGATCGCGCAGGAGCCACTGTGTGCCTTCCCAAACACTCACACCAACTTTGCTCCGTGACACAGACGCAGATGAGCCATCTGGTCTTCGGGTGTTCGCCGTCTTGATGATGGCCTTGACAGCATCGAGAGCAGTAATGCGTGCTGTTTCGAAAGAGAAGAATCGATCCACATGCGTCTTCTCCTGCATACTGATGGAATCGGCAACAGCATCTATCGCACCTTCGGGGTTCTGTATCGCTTCGGTGGTGGAGGAAACGCTCGAAAGCCGCGATGGCTTAAGCCGGCTGAGTATGGCTTCCACCATATCAGAGATCTGATCAGTGTAGTATACATGTGTCGCGAGATCCGCCATGCATCTCTGCACTGTATCCAGAAGCTGCATCCTCGCATCAGAAGGCTTCTTGACGACTTCCATAACGACACTATCCAGATTGGCTGTCGACGATTCATTGCTACCCTCCTTCTCCGATACGACAGACGTTGTCTGCTGGTGATGCGGTACGATGTTTGATCCCGGTCCGCCGAGCTGGAGAAGTAGCAATGAGTGAGAAATGAGCCCAACCAGGACATCCATGACACTCAGTCCGATGAAGTTGATCGTCGAGGCCAGAAGGTAGTCGATGATCGTCGCCAGAGTCAGCTGCCGTTCGAGGTCGTCTTCTACGATTGGACTGCGGACCAGGGCTTCCACTGCGCCTACTAGGATTGTGTATCGGTCTTGTACGGGGACCCATGCGCAGATCATGGCCATGAGTGTAGTGGCCCAATGGCTACTTTCGTTCGGTGCAGCTTCTTGCAGGCTCTTGACATGTGATCCGATGAACTTCAGCACAGCGGACGTCGCGAGCCGGAGCTGTCCTCGGTTCACACCCTGGAATATGCTCCTCAGGGCCTGGAGCGCAAGTACTCCCACTTCCTCTTCCGCAAGCTTATCCGCATCCTCCGTTGTACCAGATGCCGCAATCGGGTCGCCGTCGTCGTCGTCGGTCCGCGCGGTGGACACACTCTGCCGCCGTCGCAATGCCAGCTCCTTCTCATGTTCGCCCTTGGTAGCTTCCCGCGTCTCCAACCGCTTGAGATACGCGCCGCTCTCCGAGTGTATGTTGAGTAGGATGACTGGTATGACAGCGCCCAGTTGACGCCCGGTCTCAGATCCCAGTGACTCAGACGAGGCAATGGCCTTGAGCGCCTGCAGCCCAGCCTTCCGGTATCTGATCGCGACCGGCCAGCTGACGGGTGCCTTGCCCTTCTTGGCTGTCTCCTTGGACGCGAATTGGGCGTAAAGTTGTACAATCTCCTCGTACTTCTTGATGTAGTCCTGGTCGGCTGCGAGGGCGGCGGGATCCTGATGCGCGCATAGGGCTTCAAAGGTGGGCACTGACTCCTCGACCATAGTAACGTCGTTGGAATTGAGGATAGTGCGCAGGATATGCAGGACGGCGGTGGCATAGAGGGGGAGGTCGCGCGGACACTTCTCAATCAGCGCCTTGATGATCTGCATCGTGACCTGCACATTGCCCGTCCGGACCTTCCACACATCCTTGGTCGCCCGCTTGTCCAGAAAGTCGACGACCTTTTGCAGCTTACTGCGGCGCGTGCTGGCGTAGAAGAGCAGGTAGCTCAGCTCGCTGGAATTGGCCTTGGCCTCGGCATCGCTCTTCTGCACCTTGGGGTAGCATTTTAGGACCAGGACCTGGTGCTTGGGGCGACACGCCTGCCGCGCTGCGTTCATCGAGGCTCAAGGTGGTGACGTTGCGGGTTCGGTCGAGGTAAGCGGCACGATTGACTAGGATATGGAATGCGAAAACAGTGTCGGCGGAAGCGGCGGCGGCGATGACGAACGGCGGGGGAGGGTCGGGCGAGGGAATGATGGGGATAGTTGGTAGTGGAATCAATGGGCGGAATCAGGGTCGCGGCATTATTCGTGCAGCAACAGTTGTTCACTAGCAACGCAGGCATGTGCGTGCAACGGACGATCGCGGGCCAGGGAGCGGACTAGGGGCATCTCCACCTCTGGACCTGCGCCTGCACAACAGCCATTCACAAGTAGCACCCAAGCTGTGGTGCTTCGTAGTTTGATTAAGCTACCTAGAGCATAGACAACGAAGCTGCTCTTGACATCCTCCTCCACCCCACCTCCTCCCCGCCGCCTCCCCTCCGCCTCCCCCACCCACCCTGGATTGATGGAGTGGGCGGGAGAAATCAGGGTCGCGGCATTATTCGAGCGGCAGGTCGTTCACTAGCACGCATGCATGTGCAACGGACGGTCGCGGAATAAGGAGTGGCTTGGGTGGATAAACATGATCGGCCGTATCCATGTCCGGCCCAGAGATGTGGTCACTGCCCAATGTGCCCTGCCAAGCCGTCACCAACACCAACATCAATCTTCGTTATACTCAATACTTTGGTGAAACGTAGTACACAGAGTTAAGCGAGGAAAGTGCGCTACCTCCAACATTTTCTCTATCACGCAAACTCATGCTAACTATGTCGCATTTGTTTGGTCGACGTCACTTTCGATAGGTGTCCGAAGGATATGTGTGCGAGATATATGGAGATTATGAAGAAGGGCCCATCGCTTGTGTTATAACGCTACACTACACAACAACAAGTCCGAGATGTTCTTCTCTCAGTAGCTTAATAGAACATTCCATACAGAGGCGAGTGCTTCCTATACAATTACAACTCTTTAAAGTAGCCCGGCTCCATATGACTTTTGGAAAGTTTCATGCTTTTCCGCTTCCAAGGCACGTGTCATCAGACATTGAAACACCTCCACGCCTTTTATACCCCACAGCCTCCCACACGCCCTCTCTCCCATCCCCAAATCTTATGGGTTCGCGCTCGAATTTGAAGTCTTCTCGCGAGGGACCTTGGGTGTGTACATTAGTGGGTTGGTAGATCGTCAACGGTGGTTCATCCCCAAATCTCCCATCCCTTAGATCTTAGGACTATTCTTATTCCCAATCTGCCCCCTCTGCTGCCACCTCTGCCCCCCACCCCTCAAATCCCTCCGATTATCCAACCTCCTAATCGCCAACCCCGCATCCGGATCCGGCACAAGCCACTGATCCGTCTCCTCATCCCTCTTAAGCCACTTCTTCTCCTCGCCACTCAAAACCCTCTTCCCGCCCTTCCCATGCTTAGCCCTCGCCTGCTCCCTCGGCAACCCAGTATTAACACTATAATCCTCCGACCCCTGATTCCGCAGCTGCTGCCGCATAATCTTGGGTAACATGGCCTGGTTACCGGATTTAATAGATGAGGTAACTGAATCCTTGATGCGGAAAAGCCGTTTGTCGAGGTTTATCGTTGGTTCTGCTTTGTGGCCTGCGACGGCGACCCATTGGACGAGGCGGCCGTCGGACACGGGGTTGATGAGGTAGCGCGTGTTTTCGGGCATGCTCTTCATGATGATTTCGGGGCGCAGGTGCGGGAAGTGCGTGTGCATCCACAGCCAACGCTCTGGTCCTGCGGGCTTGATGCGCTCTTCTTTCAGGAGCATCTTTCCCTGTAGGCGCAGTCGGAATTCGACTGCGTGTCCGGCTTCGATGAACTGGTAGGCGCGGTCCATGCACATTCTGAAGTATTCGACGGGGCTGGACTCGTTGAGGATGATGTTTTTTAGGCCGCCGATCTGTTTGCCTTTTTGCCCTGCGGTCTTTGGGGCTCGGTATGTGTAGGCGTTGTGAATAGCGAAGTCTTGCAACTCTTCGGGTATTGGCCGCTCTGGGTCGTCGATGTGTGTCTTTGCCATTCCTTTCTTGATCTCGCCGAGGCAGTAGAGCATTTTCCCGGGTCCGACATGTTGTGTGAGGAGTTCTTCGAAGGAGGCGCTCTCCGCTATTACGGACAGCTTCTTAGCCTTCTTGTCTGTCTGCCATAGTTTGACTTTGTGCTCTACATTTTGCAGTGGCGCTAGAATTTCAATCTCCCACGAGCTAAAGTTGAGGACTTTGTGCTGTCCGAGGACTGTCTTGGCCTTGGCCGTTTTGTAGAGGTTGAGCGCGCGGCGCTGCTCGAGGCGTTGGGTGGGACAGGCGGGGCGCGGTACGTGAGGGGCGCATTGCGGGCGGTACAGTGTATGGAGGACGCGTATCGGGATTCGTACGGGCGGTAGAAGGAGCGATCGGAATTCAACAGTGGGTATGCGCATTCTGGGTGCCATGGTGGCGCGATGAGAGTTTGTATAGATCCTGTGCGAGACGAAGGACGCGACACCTGACTCGGGCCGCGCTATGATTTTTTGGTTCATGACGTCGCAACCACAATCACTTGGCACCTGGGCATGCCGAAACTAACACGTGCATTTAGGTACTGAAGTCACATCGGTCTTGTCATGAGTTATCGAGAAACATCATTATGGAGAGCCGATTGTATATCTCGCAACCGTATCTACGAAATTGTTGAATCCACCAAATGTCCCAAAGCATCCATCCTGTTCACTCCATGAACATCCTCTCTACCCCTATGCAATGATACCGCCTACGTCCACATCGGCACCGAAAAGTTCGTAGCCACCTCATCACTCCCCAGATACTGCGTCTCAGACGCCGGCGGAAAAACAGCCTCCCAGTTAATCCCCGTGCCAAAAACATACGGCGGATCATTCCAAACCACATCACCAAACTCCATTGTAGGCTCTGGTATATATGGCGCTGCATCTGCTTCAACAAGAGAATCATATCTGTGTTCCCGGCCAGTCACGTTCGTTGGTACAGCTAGGGATGGCCTCTGAAAGGCCGGAGTGGCTGCGGGTAGGGGCGTGGCTTGGTACGAGCTATTTATAGAGCTGGCACTTGCACGTCGGTCTGGGTTGGAGGGTGGGGAAGATGGCGGCTGCGCTTGATTCAGTAGGTCCTGCTCGCAACGGCGCACTATTTGAGCCACGCGTTGTAGGAGCTGTTGCTCGATTGGAGTGGGGACTTGTCCGGATTCCATGAGGAGCTCTTCTTGTACGCGGCGCAGGAGGTCTCTGCGGAAGCGTCGCGATGTTTCGCTTGGCGAGTCGCAATCGTAGACTGATAATTGTTAGCAGGTTATAAATCCAGCGTGGCGCGATGGCTTACAAGGACTGGGTATCTCGGCGGCAGACACGTCTGGGAAGAGAACCTGATATACATCTCTCCATTTGTCTTCCTCAAGTCTCAGCGCAGTGGTGCGCTTCCTCAGCGTCCACACAGTTTCGCGGTCGATCCCTTCGATCTGTTGGGGCAATGATCTCTCGCATTGCTGCAGACGCACGTGACTCGATTGCTCCTTGTCTGACTTGAAGGTCGCGTAGCAGATCGGACAGAATATCGGTTGGGAATGCGACCGGTAGAGATGCTCTTTCATTCGATGGACCGTGGGCCAGCCAGGCCCGGGACAGGTTCTCCTGTTGCGATGCCGATCCGGGTCGTGTTTGTAGAAAGGACATGCGAACCTCGCACCGGTCTCGGACTCATCGGTAGTTGTTGTTGATCCACGACGTCGCTTGCTTGAGCCATCTTCGTCATCATCCTCTGGCGGTGGGCTGCCTTCCAAACGGGACTTGCGTTTTGATCCTGAGCTCACAGACGTCTTGCGGCTACTCTGACCCGAAGGCAGCGTAGATCTAGCTTGGCTGTGCGTGGCGCTGCGTCCAGTACATTGCTTGTAAGCTGCATTGCGGAGGTTGATTTCGACCTTGCGCAGGATGAGCTCGATGATTTTCTGCATGGGTGCTGGAGATGGTTGTATCGGCCGAACGTCATGCTCCATTTCGTCTTCACTGACGTCCGTGTTGGTATGCATGTCGCAAGAGCTGGTGGATGAGATGGAGACGATGGATGTTACTCTTTCTCTGGGACGCTTGGCTGATGGAAGATTGTCGTCGATCCACCTCTCTATATCTTCGTCTTCCGATGCTGGCCTGTCTTTAGGGCTGTCCTTACGTGCACAATCAATAAGAGTCTTGACAGATCCTATTTTTGGAGCTTCTGGAGGCGTGGTGTCGAGGAATGTCTGGTTGGTGACGGCTTCTGCAGGGTTGCTGGTGATGTTGTTCTGACCAACCAACCATGGCCTATCGACGGTGCATCTCTTGAGAAAGGTAGCCTTGTTGTTGACAAGAATGCTCGGCACACAGGGAGGAAGTCCGAAAAATATGTCTGCTGCGCCGTTAGCGATCTGAGCTCCCGCTAGAAATTGTAGTAGGCAATACCCTGATCCAACGTTCCCGCATCCAAGGGTGAGAGAGAATCAGGATCGCTATTGTAGCCCGAATCACGGGTCCTGGAAGAAGATAGAGAACCCCTTCTACATATTCGCTTGGATGTGCTCAATCTTGGTAGGCCGGCTTGCGCATGGCTACATGATGCCATGGCGAACATTGCGCAAAGTTGTTAGAGGCGTCCGAGGAGAATGCTCGTGTTCGCAGTTGACAGAGTAAGGCAGGGTGTGAGCAGAAGGAGAGGGCAACGTTGTCGAAGACATCGCAGTCTTGAAGGATGCCTGACGGCTGTCACAAGCAGTCAGACCCACTGCGCGAATGCGCAAACGTGGGAACAGGGTGTAGCTGACGATTTCCGCCCACCGGTCATCATCCGGTCTCCAGGCACGGGAGGCCCGACCGCCAATCGTCGCAAGTCATGATGCGTCGGCACAACGGCGTTGCGGCAGATACGGGTTGAAAATCAGGGCGTTGTGGCTGAGCAATATTGATGAGTGAGGTGTTAGTAGGACGAATCCCGCGGAGTATGACGAGGCCCGGGGATCATTGATGCGCCAATGAGGTTGTACTAGCAGGCGCTAAGAACGAATCGGAATGTGGGGTTGTGACATTCTCGACTCCAGCTGCACTGCACCTTGTTCATCTCTTGAGAAAATGCCTCTTTTTCGATATGCGAGCTCAGGAGATCGTTGGAAAAGAGTTGGGGTCTAGGCTGATCAAAAGCCATACCTTGCCTTCACCTTCGCAATCTAAAACTTGCTATCTTCGACGTCACCACCAAGTCCTCTCATCGACCTATCACAGTACTTGCGCCACATGTGTATACTGCTGCATTATGTATGCGACGAGGTACTCATGAACGCTGAATATGATCTCGCAAACACCATCTATACTCTCCGCCGATAGCACTCCCACGAGTCATTCATGACGAACCTTTGATATGCCATGCATCTCGGCTCATCGAACATCTCCTTCCCAAGTATCGCCTCAACCTTCCCCCTCCAAAACTCACTACCCTCCATATCCTCAACAAAGCTCATGAGGCGCTGCTCCAGCCCGCTCTTACGAAACGAGTAGCGCGTCTTCCCCATATGCTTAGCCACGAGATAGAAAACAACAGGCAACATATCCGTCTCCTTGAACTCGCTCAAGGCTCTATTGGCTCCATGACCCAGCTGCATAAGACATTCCTTATGTATATGCCGGTTGTACTCCGCGCCGTGGTCGAGCATATACTTGACTATAGAGATGTTTTCGAACTCGATGGCGCGTATAATGGGATATCCTGCGTTGATGGAGACATCATGTTCGAGGAGTACATCGATGACGCGTCGTTGGAGGTACTGGGCAGCGGTTTGCATGCATGATATACCCAGGGTCTGTTCGACTTTCGTCTTGTACCGACGGGCTATGTCTGAACCTGCTACGGGACCCTCCCGCTGGAAGCAGGTGGGGTTATGGGCGATGAGGTATCGAAGGATATCCATTTGGCCGTCCTCGCACGCGAAGAGCATCGCATATGCCACAAGATTCTTCGCGGATATGGGGGCAGTACTCCCGGTTACCGCCATAGTAGTCTTGAAAGTATCCATGCAGCCGGTCTTGATAGCAGTTCTGATCCATAGTTCAGCACAGGCTAGACCGACGTGAGTCAAGCTGGAGTCACAGACTCCATTCTTCCTAGCGACTACTGCCAACGTAAGGATTGTTTGGCGGTGTTTGGATTGGATAGCCGCGTTAAGGATGCATTGGAATCTGTGCTTGAAAGTGTCGGTCCACTTTTCTGCACCTCCGAAGTCTTTGAGCGCTTTGAGTAGATGCTGGACGACTTCGATGTGTCCATTAGACGCTGCTGCTCGAAGGGGATCTATGTAGACATTGTCGTTGGTCGCATGCTGTCGGAAGTATGGCCATGAGGGCCAGTCTGACTCGTTCTCCTCGAGCAGGTCCTTCACCACCGCCAGGCTACCTACAGCGGCAGCGCCAACTAGGTCGGCCCGTTCTGTGGAACTAGAAAGCGGATAGTCGCTGGGCGAGCGAAGTGCCCGATCGATAGCTGCTATCTTGCCTCCTCGGGTCACATACTGGAAGATGTACTCGACGTATTGAGTTTTGGTCTTCTCATCGTGGGGACGGCCTTCGATCTTGAGGACCGCTTCAGCGCGTGCCTCGATAGAGGCAACAAGCGGATCGTTAAAGGCTTTTCGAACAGTGCTTTGGAGGATTTCGGGGAGCATGTGATGTAGGACTCTCTTATCAGCGTCGCAATCTCGGGAATCTTCCTGAAAGGATTCGTATTCATAGTCGAAGTAGACAAAACGCAAGTGATTGGCGATTTGGAAGCGGATCTTTTGGTCGAATACCTCTACAAAACGTTAGCGCATACGGATTGATATCATGATACCGATGTATATCTTACTACAAACTGCACGAGTAGCTGAAGCTTCACTGACACGAACAGTGTGTACATAATTGACAATTATGTCGTGGAAGATGTCCTCTGGGAGTTGCAGCAGTGGGCTTTCCGATGCCATGATCTTGGATTGGCCAGCCATCGTCAATCGAGTGACTGTGTTGCGATGGTTGAGTGTCGAAAAAGTAAGGTACAGTTGAGCGTTAAAGATTTCGCGGTGGTCAGGGTAGGAGCAAGGTGTACGGAGGAAGGTGCAAGGCGGAAGGAGGGAGGCGAGCATTGGCCATACTTTTGCAGGCGGCGAGAACTGCAGTTGAATGCATTTTGGCAGTCCATTGTGAAGGTGAAAACAGTGGCTTGAAGTGAATGCGTTCGACTTTGGAAAGAAACTTGGTGAACACCAGATTCTCGCGAACTATGCCAACTATGGGATCATTCGCCGAATAGGAAGTCGAAGATGCTGGTCGTGTTGTGTGATGACTCGAGGAACAAACGTCTGGTCGCCGCACGCAGTTCCTGCAGTATCACCGAGTGGATCAGAAGCTGGAGGTTGAGCCCAGGTGTGTTTCAAGGATCGTGATGGGTTGAGGGTTCCTTCCGTGTCAACATTTGCGTCATCATCACTTGGGCACGTGTTGGGCACTCTAGCGTGCCATCCGTGCGCAGTACTCCAGATGTCAGGAAACCCCAGAAGTCCATTCTAGAAAGCCGCAGAGCAAACACAACACACAAAAACCTATCAACCCCCTGCTTTCACACGCACTCCTCATCAACAAGAAACAACGGGCACACAAAGGCCCTTTCGATTCCAAAGATGCATGGTGACACGATAAACTAGCTGGGTATATTCATACCCAAGAGACAGCTGTCCGTAGACAAAATACGCTGTCAACTCCAGACACCATGCCAGTAAATAGAGGAATACCAGCTTAACCCATAAGCCCTATGTTTGATACACCTTCGCCCTCCCTTGGGGGTGAAGAATATCATACCAATCCATACCATACCAATCCATACTCCCATCCCACCCCCATCCCAAACGCCACCACCCACCAACCCCAAGACCCATCGTGTGGACACCGATATCCTTCCTTCCGCTCAACTCAAGCCGACGACCTATTAACCTTACTAAGTACTCCATCCCCTCAAACAAACATTAACATCTTACGACACGGGGCCTTGGACAGAAAAGGGGCGTGACCTACCGATTACCGCGGCGACCCGGCAGCGGAGGCGGCACCAACGGGTTTCCATAAGCATCTGTGCCCAGTGTAACGCGACAGTCTGGACAGTACCATTTGGCGCGGCGGGAAGGGATGTCGTCTTCGGTCATGTCCATGCAGGGGAGATGGAACCACTCTTTATCGCACTGTGGGGAGGGATGTTTGTTAGTTTCGAAAATAACAAGAGGGAGGGGGTTTTGGGGAAGAGTGTTGTGGGATAAGGGGAGAGGCTTACGTTATTATCACACGATATCATCTGCCCGTAACTAACGTCGTCGCAGATACAATATCGGGGCTCGTTGGGATCGATGTCGTCGGCCTGCTCCGCCTCTTCTTCTGCCTTTTTCTTCCGCTTGTTCTTGCTGCCTTGGGCGCGTTTGACGTTTGTCACTGTCTTTTGGCCGTCTTCTGCATTCGTGACTTCACCCTTTGGAGGCGGCTTCCGGCGGCTACTAGTGCGGGTGGGTGGGGGTGGGGGTGCAGGTACTGTGAGCGTGGTTGCGGGTTGGCTAAAGACACTATGACGACGGGTTTCGCGAGTTATCCTACCTTCTTCGTTGGGCTTGGGCTCTTCGCTTTGCGCCTTGGGTGTGGGGACGTGGCCGCGTGCAGAGCGAGGACGTAGGGTCGGTGCTGCAGGTGTCTCTGGGCGGGGCTCAGGTACGGGTGTAGGTGTCTTTGAGGACTTGGTCGGCGGGAGAGTGGCCACGGGCGGAGTGGGAGCTTTCGGAGCAACGGATTCGCGTTTAGGCCTGGTCGAAGCTGCTGTTGGTGCTGAGACTGAGATTGAAGCTGGAGGAGTTGGGGCTTTAACAGGTACTGGTGATTGTGGAGCCTGTGCCACAGCAGGTGACTCCTCTGGCGGTACTGGCGACGTTGTGATGGGTGTGAGCTCAGGACTTGCCTCTTTCGAGACGGCCTTGTTGACTTTCGGTGTGCTTGGACCTGCTGGCGCAAGCGGCACTTGGACGGTATTCCCATTCGTCGATGGCTTTGCAGGCTCTGGAACTGGTACCGGTGTGCTTACTCTTGGAGAGGGCACAACAGAGGCCGTCCGATCGCGAGGGGTGGACACGGTCGAGTTGGGGGTCGGTATCGGGGAGGCGACCGAGCTTGGTGCGGGAGCAATGAGCTGCAGACGTGGGCGCTTGGGTTCTGGCGGCCTGGACGCGCTGTCTTGTGTTGCTACCGAAGCTTCTCTGGTGGTCTCGATG